AAAGACAGCTTTATGAATGCTTTAACGGCCACAGTTGCGAAAAACAGAAGTTTTTCTTGCATTCAGGATGGCTTTTAATAGATGCGATCTTTTAACCTATTAGCACTAATTGATTGGGCCGCAAACGTTCAACATCAGCTACAATATGATAGGCTAATGCATTAATTTTTCAATTTATACGGTCATTTTCCATCAAATAGTAATCCGACTATTAAGCGCTAAGGCATCAGTCTCGTCTGTTTTTGATTAGCATCTAAATATGTTATATTTGAATGTGTAAATTATAACTTTAAGTGTTTATCCAACAAGCATTTTAGGCTCAAGAGAATTTTGAGTGTAAAATATGCAAAAATTAAAACTGAAACATTTGCTAATTTCATAAGTAACCAGGACGTTTATCAATATGGTTCAGTATTATTTGAAACATATGCTCTGCTCACCAGCGGAAACAAGTACCCCTATTAGCATTTACTGTGAGAACATACTCCATTTTACGTAAATAAGCAATTTCATTGAAGAACAATTGCTCAGGCAAAAAGGGACATGATGCAAGCAGCTTCAACTTTTCAGACAAAAAAATGTGTTATCACAACAATCGTCATGCTAATGCATAGAACATGCTATTTTTACCTATAAACGTGCAGTGATAATCTTACTTTTAAGTTTAAACGGAAATCAGACTCCCTCTAGTTGTTTGAATCAATTGCGAAAATATAAAATACACCCTCGAGTAAAACTTCAGAGTGGATACGCTTGGCTGTTTGCGGTTTTTTGTGAGACGGGGATGAAGATAGCATTTGAGAACTCGGTAATGACGTTTGCCGATAAAAGGGCTCTCGAAATTGACGCTGATGATTAAAAATTCTGCCTTCAGTAGATCAGAACGAACCAAATAAGAGAGAGGAAGCGAATATGCGAATCCTAAGTTCTCGGAGCAATGGAGATAAACGCGCCATTACCGGAATACTAGATGTTCTAACCGAGCACTTGGAATTACACACGAAACGACCATCAGTTACCGTGAAAATTAAATAGAAAAGGCTCGTTAATAGTCAAGCAAAGTGGAAGGGCGCAGACAGTAAGAGGGTAGGAGTAGTATTTGCGATAAGGCTAGTTCTGAGTGGAGG